ATATATATATGTATATGTATATATATATATATTGTTCACTCAATAAAAGGCTTAAGTGAATCTCAAAGTAGTGGGTTACTGAATGAGGTTGTTGGCATGCAAGAAACCGGAAGAGTGTTCTTTTGGCGAGAAAAGAAACCATTATGGAATATTACAGAATAGAACTTCCGGTTGCATCTAGCTCATTCAATATTAAAAGGGTGAGATCTTTCATACATTTAACGTACCAAGTAGAAGAGCACTTTAAAATAACTGCCAGGAAAATAGAGTAAAGCCACGTCATATCGGTTGAGAAGTGACTGTAGGCGAGATGCCAGGTCACGACCGATGACATTACAGATCCTTCAGGGAATTCTCAGAAGTATCTCGAGATATATTGCAGTAAAACCAGTGCAGATATGGCAGCAGTATCCAGCGCCCGGACGAATGGTAGTTTGATCACTGGAATTTCTTTTTCACTTCTCTGCATATATTAATATGCTTAATCATCGCTTAAGAGACGATTAGCAAAGAACAAGGAATAATGAATCTAAATAAATCACCAGTCCCCCTATATGGCAGTAAATGCTGGAGATCTCATAAATGAAGAAAAGATTTGAATCAACAGAAACAAAGATGAATGTACTGAAGTCTCATGCAATATCAGTCTTCCTATATGACAGTGAATGCTGGACAATCTCCTCATAGATGAAAAGACTTGAAACAATAAAAACGAAGAAAATTGTACTGAAGTGTTACATAATATCAGACCTCGAATATGGCACTGAATGCTGGACAATCTCCTGACAGATGAAGAAGAGACTTGAAGCAACAGAAACAAAGAAAAGAGTACTGAATTGTCATGTAATATCAGTCCTCCTATATGGCACTGAATGCTGGACATTCACCTCATAGATGAAGAAGAGACTTGAAGCAAGAGTAACAAAGAAAAGAGTACTGAATTGTCATGTAATATCAGTCCTCCTATATGGCAGTGAATGCTGGACATTCACCTCATAGATGAAGAAGGGACTTGAAACAACAGAAACAAAGAAATTTTACTGAACTGTTAATATCAGTCCTTGTATATGGCACTGAATGCTAGACAATGTCCTAACAGATGAAGAAGACAAATGAGGAACAGAAGGAAAGAGTACTGAACTATTACGTAATATCAGTCCTCATACATGGGAGTGACTTGAAAAGAGAATCAATGAAAAGTGTACGGAACTGTTACATAATACCATTCCTCCTATGTGGCAGTGAATGCTGGACAATGTCATCACAGATGAAGATGAGACTTGAAGCAAGAGAAACAAAGAAAAGAGTACTGAATTGTTATGTAATATCAGTCTTCCTATATGGCAGTGAATGCTGAACAATCTCCTCACAGATGAAGAAGAGACTTGAAGCAAGAGAAACAAAGAAAAGAGTACTGAACTGTTACGTAATATCAGTCCTCCTATATGGCAGTGAATGCTAGACAATCTCCTCACAGATGAAGAAGAGACTTGAAGCAAGAGAAACAAAGAAAAGAGTACTGAATTGTTATGTAATATCAGTCTTCCTATATGGCAGTGAATGCTGGACAATCTCCTCACAGATGAAGAAGAGACTTGAAGCAAGAGAAACAAAGAAAAGAGTACTGAACTGTTATGTAATATCAGTCCTCCTATATGGCAGTGAATGCTAGACAATCTCTCACAGATGAAGAAGAGACTTGGAGCAAGAGAAACAAAGAAAAGAGTACTGAATTGTTATGTAATATCAGTCTTCCTATATGGCAGTGAATGCTGGACAATCTCCTCACAGATGAAGAAGAGACTTGAAGCAAGGGAAACAAAGAAAAGAGTACTGAACTGTTATGTAATATCAGTCCGCCTATATGGCAGTGAATGCTAGACAATCTCCTCACAGATGAAGAAGAGACTTGAAGCAGGAGAAACAAAGAAAAGAGTACTGAATTGTTATGTAATATCAGTCTTCCTATATGGCAGTGAATGCTGGACAATCTCCTCACAGATGAAGAAGAGACTTGAAGCAAGAGAAACAAAGAAAAGAGTACTGAACTGTTACGTAATATCAGTCCTCCTATATGGCAGTGAATGCTAGACAATCTCCTCACAGATGAAGAAGAGACTTGGAGCAAGAGAAACAAAGAAAAGAGTACTGAATTGTTATGTAATATCAGTCTTCCTATATGGCAGTGAATGCTGGACAATCTCCTCACAGATGAAGAAGAGACTTGAAGCAAGAGAAACAAAGAAAAGAGTACTGAACTGTTACGTAATATCAGTCTTTCTATATGGCAGTGGATGCTGGACAATCTCCTCATAGATGAAGAAGAGACTTGAAACAAGAGAAACAAAGAAAGGAGTACTGAACTGTTACGTAATATCAGTCTTTCTATATGTCAGTGGATGCTGGACAATCTCCTCACAGATGAAGAAGAGATTTGAAGCAACTGAAACAAAGAAAAGAGTACTGAACTGTTACGTAATATCAGTCCTCCTATATGGCAGTGAATGCTAGACAATCTCTACACGGATGAAGAAGAGACTTGAAGCAACAGAAATGTTGTTCTACAGAAGGATGCTTAGAATACCATGGACAAAACATGTGAGCCACAACGAAGTTTTAGAGAAATTGGAAACAAAAAGGTCGTGACAGTTGAAATTCTCGTGCACATACCGAGGAAAGAGGTCTTGGAAAATTTGATAGCCAGAGACCAAATTGAAGGCAAGAGGAACGGAGTAAGGTTTAGGAGAAATAAAAAAATCAATTAAGAGCTACAAAGGACAGGAAATTGTGGAGAGTAATGATCTCCAACGTCCTGAAGGTGTAGGGCGCATAGAAAAAAAAACATTTTTATCACCAAATGTTTGAGCGTGTGCTCCCGAAAAAATCCTATACATATATATTTTTTCCCAAATATTTAACTCATACGAATATTTTTTTTTCAAATATTCAAGTACCAATGATGTAAGCACTTTCAAATTTGACATTTCAAAATATCTAGGTCACATAATGTGGAAAGAAGGCTTGGAAAATTTGATACTCACAGGGCTGACTGAAAGCAAAAAGAGAGAGAGTAAAACAACGCATAATTTTCCTGGCAAGCTTGAGTAGGTGGATGACGGAGCAAGGTTTTGGGGAGATAGCAAAAAGTCAAAATCTATTAAGAGCTACAAAGTACAAGCAAGGGCGGAGAGCCATAATCGCCAACGTCCAGAAGACTCGCGGGACGTAGAAGAAGAAGACCTCTTTATCAGGTTGATTTTAGAACCGTTGCATTGCCCTCAATTTGAAAGTTTGGGTTTGACATGATAAATAACAAAGCAATATATACCCTTCTCCAAATTCTAATCGCTCTTTTAGGAAATAAGTTTAAAGATAAAGTTTAGGTTCCAAATCATAACGTTGGAATTTAATTCCGGTGATCAGTAAAAGCCTTACACACAGCCTTATAAAATCTATAATTTACTGAAGGTTTACAAATTGTATATGGACAAGATGCATGGTATAAGCACCTTATTACTAAATCATTGTGTCATCAAATAAGACCTTCATTTACTTCAAAGGAAAGCTATACTGAACAATGTAACTATATTATGATGTAATATTTTATACAGTGCAGTTGTTTGTGTAATTTTCAATAAACAATTCAAATTTAAAAGCATTTTGTCTTATAATTTGTGCCCAGCAGTATTATCGTGTTATATATACCTTCATCTATTTTTTTTTAATTATGATCTCACAAATCTTATTCATTGAGTAACCATTTTTGTAATCTTTTTCAATTTTTCAAAAGTTTTTACTTATTTTTATAGTAAAAAAATTGCATATTCATAATTAGAATTATCTAATACAAAAGATATCAGCTTTATTTGGATTTATTCGGTTGAAATAGTAGAATTTTGAAGTCAGTTTGTAAGCAAAATCCTGCGGAAATTAGGTACATCTGTTCATTTTTTTCTTTTTTCAGACGATCTTTAAAAGCAAAACGCTCAAATATTGATAAAATCTATGAATCTAATTTTTGGTGTCAGTACTTATGGCATCAAACCCCAGCTTCCTCGCTAAGTGCCATGTTGATTTTCTGAAAAAGTGAAAAATCAACCAGTCGTAATATGTATACGGCTGCTTTTTTTTTTCGCATATACGCATGCGCCTGATAGCGTCCAGCGTTTGTCGGAGAAGGAGGAAGAGAGCCACTTAAAATGAATGCCCTTGAGAACGGCGCCATTTGATTTTTACTTAATTTTATGTTTTTTTTTTTTTTTTTTTTTTTACCTCTCGTTTCGATAAGGCTGACTCAATACCAGGTGAGAGGTTGCCTCTATGATAGGAATTCTCAAACTTTTTAGACCATCGACCCCTTCATGGGACCCTTGATATCCTCATCGACCTCCGGGCATGTCCAAAAAATATCAATAATAATTATTATTTTCTTATTATGTTAGGATAGAAATGCCTTTGTCCTTTTACTTTACGATTGTTTCTCGATAAAATCCATTCCGCCTTCACATTTGGTTATTCATTTTCTCTTTCTCTTCCTGTACTAAATGTGTTTGCTATTATTATTAGTAGTAGTATTAGTAGTAGTAGTAGTAGTAGTAGTAGTATTTCTTTTGATTTCTGGTGTATACTCATTTCTTTCTGGGTTCGAAACGGAGAACTAAGGCCAGATATGGCATCATGACATTTTCAACTGCGCATTTATGCAAAAAACAAGAAAGACAGAAAAAACACACATTTCAGATAGATAATGCCCTTCGTAGAGTAAAAGCTGGGCTTACATGAGCATTTTTTTTATTTCCTTATAGCATGGGTTACCAGGGATCCCTTCAATAAGCCTTTACGAACCTCTCCTAATCAAATACAGAGCCACAGCCACAATAGGTATTACTCGAAATTATCGATGTCGCCGGACGCCAACCAGGTATTAGGTTGGTGCAAAAAAATGTCGTTTTTTGACGTTCAACTTAACGTCAAAAAACGATATTATTTTTGCACCAACCTAATATTTCTCGACCACAGCGAGTAATTCTTTTTTTTACTACTATTTCCTTTGATGTTGTACACACATTACCATTTCGGTCCCAAGCAGAAACCTGACGTCAGAAATGGCTTTAAGAGATTTTCCACTGATCATTTTTGTAAAAAAAAAGATCGCACGCATTTTTACAAAGATAAATCTCTTCGTAATATTCGTGTTGTATTTGCGAATACAATTTCTCGTATTTCTTTAAGGGATGGTCTACCAGGAATATCTTCAATGAATCTATCGGAACATTTTTCCAATCCATCCGAGTGCTCCAACAACAACTGGCACTATTGCCGTCTTCATGTGCCATATTTTTTTGAGATTTCCACTTCAAGACCCGTGCCTTTTGACAGTTTTTTTTTAAGATCTTCAAAGATACATTACAGCCTGCAAGAAATGCAATGCCAATAAGAAAGCACATTCTGTTTTTGTGGTCTTTGATCACGATGTCTGGCCGATTAGCTTTGATTATTATCTCTGTGTGTATTGCAAAGTCCAACAAAATTGTTACAGGTCCTAAATCTCGGTAATCGGGTCAGGGTGATGTTCATACCAGTTTCTTGCAGTTTCCTTCGCATATTGCCCAGTGCTAATATTGGCCCAATCTATCATGCATATTCAGTGGGTGCTAATACGGTGCAGCCTGATACAAGACGGTCAAGTGTTTCTGGATATTTATCCACGGATCTGCATTTCGGGTTAATAGAATTTTTCAGCATGTCTGCTTGGTAATTTCTTGTTATCGAGCATTGGTCCTGTACAGTAAGAACAAAACCTTCGGTTTCAATTTTTAAACCTACACTGATGAGCACGGGATTTGTCTACATCAGCTTATTTGGTCCCAGCAGAGTATTGACCACGAACAGGCTTACCTAGCCATCGTTTCTGCATTTGGTACATTGCTTTTGCGTTCTTTTTTAGGTTCTTTGCCGCTTCAGTGGGTGTATTTTGGCTTATTTGCATTTCTCCACACACCTAAAATTCCCTTTTGAATTCGTTGGCTGCCATTATTACAGAATAAACTTTATTTATTTCGTGTTCTTTTGACACAGATCATCATTTAATCTTCTGTAGTTTCCAGGTATCTTTGAAGACCAATTAATTTTATTTTTTATTTATTTATTTATTTATTAATTTTTATTTTATTTATTTATTTATTTATTTTTTTGTAAGACTGTTCTTAAGTTAGGAGGCACAGTGGAGTAATGGATAGCAGTCCCGACTGAGGAATCGGAGAGCCGAGTTTGAATTCCAGTCGAATCCATTACATCCACTTATGTGCTAATACCCTTCAAAAAGGTATGAATCCTCTTCTTCTCCTCCCCCCACCCAGCGATGGGCAAATAGCAGGACAGACCGAGTTCTATAGCCTTGGATGGCAACTGGTCTACCGCAGAAAGAAATGGCAACCTACTGCGGGAAAAAATCTGCATTGTATCGAAAGATACATGATCGTCTACGCGTGTAACACGCATGGCACCTAACTGAGTGACAGTTCTCGTTGAACTAATTCTCTGCCTCCTTCGGATCTGGGCACATACAGACGATCAACATCAGCCCTGGGACAATGGATGCGGTGTCAAGTGAGAAGCTTTCTTGTTTCGACAGCCATTCGCTTAATGTTAGCTATGGACCAATTAAAGATTTTGAAACTGTATCGCACCACAGAGACAAAGTGTTTATGGCTGTTTATCGGATTTCCTACATTTTTCAACCGATTTCAACAAAACTTCACAGGACTACGTAAAATTACCTTGCGGTGGTTCTGACAGCGCCAAAAATTGGAAAAACACAATTTTTTTCACGAAATCAATTTGAAAACAAGATTAACAGGCATCGCTGTCGCGTGAATGAAAGGGGGACAACTCATATCGAGTTATACTTATTATAAAAACCCAGGTTGTGTGTGTGTGCGTGTGTGTGTGTGTTCGTTTGTTTATATATGGGATCGGATTTCCTGCATTTTTCAACCGATTTCAACAAAACTTCACTTTTTTTTGGCAGGCAGTGTTTCTTATTGTCTTTTTTCTTTATTTTTACATTTAAAATGCTTTAAAAATTCCATTTACAAGGCAATTGTTTATAATAATATTCTATTCAATCGATAGACTCATAACGATTGAAAACAATGTTTTTGTTTGAGTTTGGGTTTGACCAAAAAAAAAAAAGCTAATTAAGACATGCATATCTATCAACCTTAAACAATAATCTTTATCAATTTTATTTTTCAGTCTTTATAATGGTCGATACTTGATCTATCTCTTACTGTTACATCCCCGGGCAACGCCGGGCTCTACTGCTAGTATATATATATATATATATATATATATATATATATATATATATATATATATATATATATATATATATAGGCCTCTCCTTGTTACGGTTCTCTAATCTTTGTGTTAAAATCTCGATCTATTGGGTATGGCTCTGTTAATCTCCCTTTCTTGAATATTACTTTTGCACATTTATCTAATCTGAAATCAACACAGATGTCATCACTGAAACATTTTACAGTATTGAGGAGACCCTTGCTGTCTTTGGCAAAGAATTTAATACCATCCATGTAGAATAGGTGTTTAAAGACTTTCCTTCTTACTTTGTATCCATAGTTATTAGTGTTTAGTCCATGCGAAAGGGGAGTTAATGACTAACAGAAAAGAAGGGGGCGAGAGGGAGTCTCCTTGGAAGATTCCTCGTCGGATATTCCAACAATTGGAAACGGCAGTAGCTTTGGTGTGATTTAGGTAGAATGTGATTTCTCACAGTTCCATTATATATTTAAAGAAAATTTACTATCACCGAGAAGACTTTGTCCATTTCCAATGCTTTCAGGATCCAAGAGTTTGGTACACTATCCAACGCTTTACGGTAATCTATCCAAGTTGAGATATCTACCTTTTTTCCTGCAATTTTCCAAGACCTTTTCCTTTATTAGTAATTGTTCTTTGCAACCATATGAACCTCTTCGAGATCTCTTCTCTTCCAGTGGAAGAATGTTGTTTTCATCGAGAAATGATTAAATACAGTTCGTCATGGCAGACGTGATCAATTTATATGTGGTAGACAAACATGTTATTGGCTTATAAGTTTTTAGATCATCTGTTTTACCGGGGTTTTTTTTTGGTAGGAGATATGTGATACCTTCAGTGGTCCATTCTCGAATTTCGTTGGGGTTATTAATTATTAGGTTGGTGCAAAAATAATGACGTAATAATGTCGTTTTTGACGTATTTTTAACGTCAAAAACGACATTATTACGTCATTATTTTTGCACCAACCTAATTGTATTGATAATGTTTGTGCAAGTGTTTTATGGATTGATGACAGCTGATAGAGCCAGAAGTTGCGTAACATTGTCATTTCCTGGGGGTCTCCACTTTTGGGGATTTTTCTTACAACTTGCCTAATATTATTCTTGGTTATATTTTTTTCCATCCTTGCGCAGGTTTTTCCTTCATTTCTTCTTGCTCTCGTTTGGTCCACTCTGCATTGGGAGTATATCCCTTTGACTTGTTCCAAATATTCTTCCAAAATCTTTGCACTTCTTCAATAGATGATGGCCTTTTGACGTCTATAACGGCTTTTCCAATTTCCCTGGGACACATATTGAGTCATGTTTGGAATATTTTATTTTGCCGATAGAAACTTCTTCTCTTTTCATATCGTCTTGATCTCTGTGCCTTTAATTGCAGTTTCTGTTTAAGTAGTCCCTTGATTGGTGGAATTTCATTTGCTGCTTTGGTATCATATTTCTGCTTCATCTTCTTGCTTTTTCCGTGTTGAAACATTTGAATTTCTTGAAATCTCGTCTAGTCTCGTTAACTCACATCTGATTTCTTCAATTTCTCGCTTTAATTTTGCCTTCCAACTGGGCTCTTTTTTTCCGTTGTTCAATCTTTTATTTATCTTGATGTTAAGTTTTTCAGTCGCTGCCAAATCTGTTGCATATATAACAGGATTTACTTCTGTGACGTTTTTCTAGTGGTCTGTCCGTTAACAATGTTTGCAGTGCAGCGTTATATGATTGCGTAATATGTTTATTGGACTTTGTCAAATGAATATTTGGAAGCCGGTTTCTTTCCGACATTTGCGCGCGAGTAACTTTGCTGATTTT